AAGTAAAATTTTTAAAACTACTAAAAAATGGTTAAAATCAAAGAGATCTATAGACATATGAAAATATTGAAAAATGGACGGTCTAGATAATGTATTGGAAGATGCACCATTTCTGAGACTCAAAAATTTTTTTTTTTTTATATTCATACATCTCGATGTCGAGATGATCAAATAGAGGGTTTTTCAACATTAAAACAGTCTTTCCGATATATTTTTGAGGTGCATATGCAATTCTATATTTTAAGGTTGCAACCTTATATAAACTTTTCCCATAAATAAATAAATAAATATATATATATATATATATATATTGGTAGAAAAAATTAAGACAGTCAGGAACAACTACCTATCTAAATATTTATTAGAAGAGAGCATAAAATTTAACTCAACTATGATAGTTTCTGAAACTCAGCTTGGTGAACTCCTGCACAGGGCCAAAAAGGCCCTAAAAAAAATAAAAAATATCTGAAAAAACAAAAAAAAGGTAGATAAAGTAAAATAAAATCAATAACAACTTTAAAAAGTTAAAATTAGCTTTTTTAAAGTACAAAAAATGGAATTAAAAAAAACTTATTTACAATTTGGGACATTTTAAAATTCAAAAAATAGAAAAAAAAAAGAAAAAGAAAAAGAAAAAGGATTATGGCACAAAACACTCACCAATATTTGCCAAAAACATCAAAATCATATAAAAAATAATAATTATACAACATTTCTACAATTTAAAAAATAGATTTTTTTTTTTAAAAAATTATATGCCCGGAGTTGTACAAGAAACTCTCCCGAGTCTAAGTGGACTTAGGCGAGTCCCGAACAGTTGAACTGTCTATCCAGATTTACGGAATCAAGAGCATAAATAAATTTTTTTTAAAAAAAACTAGGGTTTAAGCAAAACAAAATTTTAAAAAAAACCAGGGTTTACATTCGGACCAGTTCAAATTACATTCATGTAATCCTATTGCAAAGTTTTTACCAGTTTGGATTGTTATACAGTAGAATACCTACTTGTTGTTCAATACAATCAATGGCGAAACCTATTCGAGAAGAACTCAATTGAAAGGAAAACATGTATTGATATTCTAAGTTAAGTGATCTCTGAATACCTGTTGAATATAAACGCAGAGGCTTTTCCATTGAGGAGTAAAATGATGCCCAGTTCCAGTCTGGAAAACGATGATCGCAGGTTTGGAACCCTAATCTTGAACATATTGAGGGAGACATTTGCGAAGATTTGTTAACTACGTGATGACAGAGCATCTTAGTCCAGAGAGACCACTGGCCCTTCATTTTCCCGCACAAAAATCTCCCCCTTCTCTGTGTGTCTTCTCTGGTTAAATGCGCAGACTACAGAGTAATGCAATGTGAAGAGGTAAAAATGGCATACAAATAGGACAGATTTTGGAAAATCCTTTATACTTCATGACCTTTCACAGAATTTTGAAATTTATATTTTACATTTCGGTCTCGCTTCATATTTTATATTTTAGTTTTAATATTTGTTTGTAATTTTGTATCATCGAGTTGGATTGATTTTTTATTTTTAATATTTGTTTGGATCAATCATTTGGATTGATTCGGTCAATGTATAATTCATATTGTGTTTTTATTTTAATATTTATTTGAATCATCAACTTTATATTCTATTTTTTATTTTTTAATATTTATTTGAATCATCAATTCATGTTGATTCTAATCAAGCCCGTCCAATATCTAACACACATATGTGGGGATGGAAACTCCACCTCAGAGACAAGGGCTTTGAATTGAAATTTATCAAAGAACCTATAAGAAGAGATGAACAATTTAACACTTTACCCATATATTTTTATTTAATTTTAAAATACACACATAAATATATAATCTTGAGTTGAAAGAGTTGCAAATTGAAAAAATATTAAATAATCCATCTGGATATTTTAATAAATTCCCAACCCAAGTCTTGGATGTTTGTAGTTTTCACATTATGCACCTGTTAAAAATATAAAAAGAATGATTGGAAAGAAATAAAATAGCTAGCGAGAAATACCCCTAAAATTTATAAAAATATTTTAGTAAATTTTTATTCAAATATATTTTAATATATAATATAGTAAGAACTGAAAAAGTATAGGGGCTCAAAGCATAGCACAAACCTATATATACAAAGAATTATAAGGTTTTGAAGTGCATCTGTAGTTCTACATTATAAGATTGCATCTTTATATAAACTTTTTCCATATAAAAAAGAGATAAAATTAAGTTACTAAACACACTTTGACAAAGTACAACGTTAACATAAAATATAGACTATCATAAACATTTTTTAAATTCCTTAATATTCAAGGAAAATTTACAAAAAATTTCCTCAAAAATTATTTTTTAACAAATCTTTAAAAAAAAATAAAAAATATTTTTTAAAAAACTTCTTAAATGTTGGCGATCAAGGGTCTTCTTGCATGTTGTATTGTTTTTCTTCATATAACACGATGTTAGCAACATCATTGGCTGCTCGGATGGAGCAATGCCATTTTTATAAAAGTGATTAGTTTGTTTAGGCCTACATAGCATGTTGTATTGCTATTTTTAATAGTTGTTACTAAACAAAAGGCAAAAGTTTATATAAAGTTGCAACTTTAAAATGTATAATTAAATATGCACCTCAATACTCTATCGAAAAATGTCGTTTTAATGTTAAAAAACCCTCTAATTGATCATCATGACATCGAGATGTATGAATATGAAAAAAAAACAGATTTTGAGTCCTAAAAATAATGTATATTGTAACACATTATTTGCACCGTCCATTTTCAAGATTTTCATATGTTTATAGATCTGCTTAATTTTATTCGCTTTCAAAGTTTAAAATTTTATAATTAGGCATTAAAATAGATTTTGAGATAATTTTAAGAATTTTTTACACCAAAATTACATATTATGATAAAATTTGGAGGTATGCCTTAATTAGATGGTTTAAGGTCCCAACCTTATACAAACCGCACCCTAAACAAAAACCTGTACAAAGTTTATTTACTTTTAGTATAAAGAAGCTGAATGTGAAAATGGGAGGCATACCATCAATTTGCCTAATGTTTTGAATAGAAGTTTTCGAAGCTTGTGACACCCCAATCAAATGTTTTATTTGATGACTTTGATAGCTAGAGGTGCTTGCAACCAACTTTCTACAAAAGTAAATAAGATTGCTTGGGCTTAAAGTTATAAATAGATATTTTCAAAGTTTGTGATATACCTTAATCAAACAAATTTTTTATTTTGACAGTCATATATGATTATGATTGTGACCAACATACACCATAAATAAATGTTCTTGTTGTATACATTCCGCTAGTAATTACCATAGAGTGCAAGCAAAACATGTAATCATTATTCGGGTAGATTGTTCACCCCAAAAATAACTACAAATTCTTCAAAAAAACAAAAAAAAAAAAATTTACCCAAAAAAGGAACAAGCAAAAGAACTCCAAATTACTTTCGGGTTCCGCAGAACAACAAACAGGTTGCAGACATCGACATTGCAAACACTAGGTAAGTGAAGCATGAAGAAACAAGAGCCTCACTTAGTGACACCTCTTTTAGTTAAATTTTCGACGGCCGGCAAACTCGGGCACGACTCCATACAGTACCATTTGCACACACAAGGCCCGCCTCCGGTGCACAATCGAGGTCACTCTCGCACACACAAAGCCCATCGAGAGCACACCGAGGGCGCCTTCTCTCAACCCGGCCGATGCTCCCCAGCCCCAGCACCGTATCAGACCAAGCACTCGAGAAGAAGCCCAAAGAGTCCATCTCCTTCTTCACCTTAACAAATTGCCCCCAGTCTGCTACCTTCTCTGTGACTCCCTTGAAAGCATAGACCCTGTTCTTAGCCCAATGAGGCCTTCCACTGTACTTGAACAGCAGTATTTGCTCCATTTCTTCCATTATGTGCTCATTCCATCGCGGCTCCTCGGGCCGACGAGAGCTGTAGTCAGGGAAATAAAAGAAGTTAGTTTATTTTTTGGGTAATCGAAAGGGAAAGTCGGCCCCCTTCCCATTTTCATTAATATAAAATCAAGCCAAAAAAACAAAATAAGGTGGATTAGCTTGTTTTTTATTTTTGGGAATACACACTCCATTTTTACAAATAGTTAGTGGTTTCTAAATGCGTCAGTGGCAATGATAACATATACACATAGCTGAAAATCAGGCAGTGTTATACCACAATCTAGTGGGAATGAAAACCTAGACACTTAACTCAGACTCAAGCGGTGATACACCACCATCTTGAAACCATTCCCTGCCTAACATGGTTTGTTTATGCCAATCAGGCTAAAGGCAAGTTTGAATTGATTGAATAGGTGTGAACCAAGGCAAAACATGTTTTCCTATTTTGTCCTAAATTGCATTTTTTAGCCCTTTGAATAAACGTGTATATGTTCCGCACTATATTAAAATAATGCTTATAGTTAGGGTGGCAGTGCACCGGGTAGCCTGCCCTGTTCTGTCTGGCCCTAAAAAACTAGGGCCTGGGCTACAAAATGTAGCCTGAGGGCTGGGATATAACAGCCCAAGGGTACGACGGCCGAGGCCTGGGCCAGGACTGTAATAGGGCTGACTTCATTTAGCCTTAACCGGCTTATTTTTCCTTTAGATTTTTCTTTTATTCTATTTGGTCCGGCCGGGTCTTGATAGGGCCAGAGCCTCTTTAGCCAGGTCAAAGCCATACCGGACTAGAGCTAAGGGTGGCCTGGGCAAGGCCTGGCCTGTTGCCACCCGTACTTATAGTCATGTTTAGCCATCCATCCAAACACGCTTGTGAAGGGATGATGAAGAGACCTGTAATAGAAGAACTCCATGTGGATGGCGTCCTCTTTGTTGCCTAAATGAGCCTGGGACTTTTTGAGGAAGCGCATGAGCAATCCACCATAGAAATCTACGGCGCAAAGCGTGTTAGGATTGGTGATGGCAAGGCGTTTTATGTCACCGATGGCGGAGGCGGCATGCCTCAGAGGCACTGCAATCGAGGAATGGAAGTAGAAGCTACCATTGATCCGTGGGTCCCAAGCACAGACTTGATCATCACCGGAGAGTTGTCCATCGTCATTGTTGCAATGCTGGTCGCAAGCTTGGCAGGCGGAGGAGGATTGCATCATGTTATTGAACCCGACCACCGGGAAGCCATGGAAGGACTTTCCGTCGTTGAGAAACCCTGCACCAGCATGGATTCCCTGGTGAAATTGGTTTTTGGAGATATTGCAGAGCTGTCTGGAGTCTCTGCTAGCTTGGATCTGCTCCTCTGCGCCAACACACACTGACAGAGATATTAGCTAATATGTATTGCCTCAATATGGGCCTCAATAAGTAAAACTTAGGGTGGATGCTCTGCTATTTTTATTAAGAGAAGATCTCCACATGATCTTTATTGATCTAGAAAAAACATATTTGGTAGCATTTTTCAAATATTAATAGAAGAGAAACAGCTCATCCCTATTAATAGTGGGTTAGTACAAAACACTTCTCCATAATCTACAAGGGCATTTTCATATTTTGGCATTCTTATCAAACTCTCTTATTCCGGGTTCGGAACCCAAAGCATCAAAGGGCATTTTTATAGTTGGGTCCCAGTCATTTATCAGAATACCCTTATCCGTTTAAGGTTCCAAACTTAGTAGATGGACATTTTGATACTGTTAACAGGGTAGTTGAGGAGACTCAAACTGAAATAATATTGAATGGTAAACACATTGTGGATAAGTTGGTTGATTTGACCACACCATTGTTTTTTTTGGTAAACTGATCAAATTACTCCTGAGAGATCAATAATTTAACACGTTACCCATATCGTTTGATTTAATTTTAAATTGCCTATATAAAAAGTCCTAATACAAGGTTTTACACTTAGGTGGGGAGGACGCAACTTTTCATCCATGGAGAAATATGGGGTGGGTCATTGCCCTTTTTTTTTTTTCTCGAAGGTGAGTCATTGGGGAGAGAGCCCTTACCCTTGGTAAGAATTGAGTTTAGGACGTAGCGTTGTATATCATCAAGCGTTAACCAATTAAGCCCAGGCTCTTTTCCTAAAAGTGGTAAGTTAGTAGGTATTTAGGCCCCTACTTTTTGGTGGGAATGGAGTTATATACTTCACCATAAGACTCAACAATACTACCATCAAGGCTTGAGGCCATTCTCAAAAAGTGGGAAGTCAATGGGGATTTGGGCCCTTACCCTTTGGTTGAAAATTTTGAAACTTCATGCAATAGGGGGTTGGATGAATCCGATATATGAAAGGATCTAGAACGGCTAGTGTGAAATCTGATCCCGATTGGGGATTTGCGATCTGGATTATTGATTTTTTAAATCTCGATAAAAACAAATAATTATGAGTTAGAATAATTGTAAGGATAGAATATTAAATAGTTTATTTGTATTTTGATGGATTTTTCTTTTTTTTTTGAGATGTTTAAATCATTTTAATGATATACACAAATGAGATTTAGATTAGAATAAAAACAATAGAACCTTGAAGTCGTCTTTTGACAATGGAGTCAACAGTCTGAGGCCTGAAAGCCATCTCCATTTTTCTCCCATGTCCAGGCATGCTGTTAGACACACGATCGTCGATCCGATACACCACCTTACCTAGTGATGGGTACCATGTTATATCGCCAAACTCATGCTCCTTACCATGCTCCACCAGAGTATCTTCCAAGTCTTCATCCCCTTTAACACTTAAAAACACTTGCCTCTTGAACATCCTCTCCACCCTCAATGTTACTCTTGATATGGCCCCAAGAGTGCCAATTGAAACCCTAGCTGCATCGAACAAGTGCCTACTTTCATCATCACCACCCAATTCCACCACCTTAGCAAACCCATTGTTTGGTGGTGCAGCAACCACCATGCGCAACCGGACTATGTATTCATGCACTGCCCCGCCCCCGCCCCTGAGCCCGCTCCCATGCGCACCCATGCTGATGACTCCCCCGATCGTGACGGCGTCGAAATAGGGTGTTTGCGTGAGCGTGAGGCCCGAGCTCGCGAGCCTCGCTGCGAGGTCACGCACTTTAACACCTGCGTCAGCTGTGACCATGAGCTCGGCTTGGTCGATGGATACGAACGAGTTGAGGTCCCTGCTACAAAGTTTGGGGATTCGTTATAACGGTCGTGACAGGTACGGATCTATAGCGGCCGTTACAGTGAGATTGAATTTCTTAAGAGGATGTTATCATAAGCGTTATTCAAAAAAGCAGTAGATATAACGGATATAATGGGACATGCCTTAGAAATTAAATTTGATTAGACTCTCAGGATATTTTCAAACGATATTAGACATAATTAATATTAAAGAAAGAGACATAACAGGTGTTATAACGGATGTTGCATCTGATCCGTTTCGAGTTTTTGAGCCCCATTACAACGGGGTATTATACAGTTTATACCGTAATATAACAGGCATCATGTCTAACAAAAAATGCTCCTAAAATGCATTTTACACGGTTGTGCCATCTACCAGGCATGATTGTAATCATGTTATAAATAAGGGTATGCCTTCAATTGTCGCCAAACACATAGTTTTAGAACCGATCATCTGATATTTAATTAGACGACGGTCAGTAAGCTATCAACAATATCATATATTTAGTTTCAGTTAAACAAATGTAGCTAACACATAAATCATGTAACCAACTGTTTGAAAGTTTTTTGAGCCATGCCTGGTATTAATGAGCACGCCGGACTTGTCGCCACCAGGGCACGGGAAGCGATTGGCAGTGTGGGACATGGGGCCCATGAGCTTGATGGGGCGGCCCTCGCGCACCGCGTTGGCGACAGCGGCGACGAGCTCTTCCTCGGTGCTTGGGTACTCAACCCTCGAGACAACGCATGACTTTCCATCCTGCCAGGCGCCACGGTAGTTGGTGATGCCGCAAGGGCCGCGAGCACCACTACACAACACGGTGCAGGCGGGGCACATGCTCCGAGAGGGTCTTGCAGTGAGGAGCACAACTGTGAGGGCTACTAGGAGCGCATGAGGCCGGCAACGATCCATGGCTCTTTGTGGTTGATTAGGTAGTGGGTGTGGTGATATATATATATATATATATGCTGTGAAACTAAATACAGATGAGAGTAAAAGGATTTGTGTGGTTTCAATCTCTTGTGGATTGAGCGGTCTTGATTCTAGCATTGTGCATTTCATTTGATCCGGACCGTTTATCATGGTCATCGTGGCCACCAAGCCCAATAAGAAACTACTGAAGAGGGTGCGTGCCATGTCATCATTGTGTTGGCTAATGATGAGGGGAAATGGGTCTCATTGACTAGCGCACTAGTTTAACTTTACCCTTCACCATCCAACTCATTAACTTAAGGGTTATAAATTACCTAGATAGTGTAATTATTAGGGATATAAATATTAAAAAAGTATTATTTGTATAAAGATGCAATTTTATTTATAGAAGTGGAGTTGTAGTGTTACACACTATTTATTTTAGTTGAACAGTGTAAATTTGATATATCTTTTAAAAAAATATTAAATAATAACATGTCTTTTGATACAATATCAAATATGCATCTATCAAATAAAATGAATGGTATAGGCTAATGCAAACTTACTTTTAAAAATAAAGATGCATCCTTATATAAACTTTTTTCATATTAAAAATTTAAGGGTGTGGTTTGAATCCTTTAACAATCAACACAACGCACACTTCCAAATTTTGTAATAAAATATAATATAAACTTTATAATAAGGTGTAATTTTGGTGTCGAAAATTCTTAAGTTGGCACAAGAATTTATTTTCATCTCTAATTATAAAATTTTAAACTCAAAAAATGGTTCAAATCAAGCTGACCTATAATCACATGAAAATCTTGAAAACTAACGGTCCAAATAATGTATCATAATATTACAATATTTGGACTTGAAATCTTTCTTTGACATCTTGTTTGTTGAGATGATCGATCAGATGTTTTTCCAATATCGAAACAACCATTTTCAAGATATTTTTGGTGTGCACCTTAATTCTTCTAAAGTGTCAACCTTACATAAACCTTTTCCAAATTTAAAAAAAGTAAAGAAACTAGTTAACCCCTGCTGAGCACAATGTATTACAACTCTGTTAGAGGGGGTTTTTGACCCTAAAATTTCACACATGCAAACATCATCTAGACCATCCAAAAAAAAAAAAAAAGGAAATGTAAATCACGGCAAAGGCAAGGAGAAAATGAGTCATGATTTTTTATGGACCATCTTGGCCTTCAAGAACCTATAATTATTATTTTCATTTTTTAAAATCAAAATGTACCAAATTTCAGTCTAGAAAATTTTCTATAAATACTAGTTTTAGCCAATAATTTTATACTGTAACCTACACCATTAGCTTATAAAATCTTCAGCCTCAACGTTTTTAAATCAAGTGTATTTAAATTCCTTCACCCCAGTCCGGAGGAATTTGAATACCTTGCTATATATTTATTCTAGTGGCCTTATCGGTTCAATAATTATGTCGAGTGTTGTAATAGATTGCATGCGTCTAACAAAAGCTTTACACTTTTTCTTTAGGGAAAATATACAATAAAACTATTTATCTTATTATAGTGTACACTATCTTTTAAGCCACTTTTAGGTGTAGTGTGACCGCAATGGGTTGGGCCAACCAAATTTGGTCCTAGCCCAGCCCTAGTCCCTTGACCCGGGCCTGGTCCAGCCAGAACAGCGTGGAAGAGGCCCTGGCCCTTGTCCAGGCCCAATAGACCCAAATAAAAACAGAAAAGATAAGGGAAAAATGGGGCTAGCCTAGGTCCCTGTCCAAGCCTGACCCTCACGCCACATTTTGTAGCCCGGCCCTAAATTTTGCTACGAGGCCACCCAACCCATTGCTAACTGTAAGGAACAATTTTCCTTACAAGAATACACATTCGACAGACACTTTAACATTTCCAGGTTTGTAAGCTTTAAGATCATGCATGATGCAATTCACATGAGAATAGTATGCCATATGGCCATTGAACTCATTAGAAGATAGAAAAAAAGAGAGTTAGAGCATGTAATGACATTATAGACTTTTCTATCACTTGAAATAGAGAGAGATTGTTTTCCAACAAAATAAAAGGAGAGAGAGAGAGAAGGGGGGTGGGGGTAGAACCAATTTTCTAACAAAATGGTTCTTTAGTCTGCATGATCTTGCATGCCTCACCTTGAATGTGGCTCTAGTTTCAAACTTAAATCTATGACATAAAATTCATGAGCCAAAAGTAATGGGAGTGCACTTCCAATGCAACCATTACTTATTGTACACAACGGTCACAAACACCCCAATTCATCTGATATAAAATTGTACAAGTGGAGCGTTGTTTCTCCACACAAAGCCTGAGACTTGAACTGGCAGCAATTGGTACACCCTGAGCTCCCCAATTTTACATACTATAGCTAAAAGTGGTTGTGACATTTTTGTGCCAAAGATAGATAGTCTTATGTACCTAAAGTTTCACAAGGATTGGATCATAATCACATATTGCTAGAAGTGAGATAAGAACAATGTCACATACATCCACAAATTGTATTTGTCAAGCTACAATTAATGCATTACATTATTACTAACTAGCTCCCAGCCTTCCGACCAAAGATGTCTCTAGGGATACATAGTGAGCTCGCCCTTTACAAAGAGATAGGGCACAGAGCTATTCAAGAAATACAAAGGCTGTAGGGTCTTAAACAGTTTCTCAGGTTAATATGACTGTGATAAGAAACATGTGTCCTCTCATTAACTTCCGGTCTGACAGCCTCCCTCTGGCCTTGGACATGCAGCAAGCAGGAGTCATGAAGGCATATTACTTTTGAAGAGGAGTTCGCCCGCAATTCCATATTCACAATTACCTGAATTGTCATCAACAAGATTTCAGAGGAGTTGCTTCTGGGCCTGTTGCAGCACGAGCTCTTGCACCAGGTGTCAAACACAAGGACAACGATGGCATGTTACACAATGCTGACACAAACTGATGCCTGCCTCTGGGACGTGCACGTGCTTTGCTCCAAACAGATATTTTATTTTATGAAAAGAATAGAACACATTTCCAGTACTACTATTTTTTGCTTATTATTCCATTTCTAGTTAACCTGAAATACCTGGTGGGATTTTCGGCTCATGAAACCCCAGGTTCAACAGAGAGCAGCAACAACAATGCACGGGAAACAAAGTAAATAGAGCAGTAGCAAACAGATTATACTTAAGATACTAAGCTTACTCAACCAGAGTTACCGAAGTGAACTGTGTAACAGCTGGAAGATACAAAATGGCTTTTCGTGGATTTGGTGGCAAAGGATGATGAACTGGACCCTCACTATATGTGAATCGCTTTGGTATAGCAACTCCAGCCTCACCACAAGCACTTTCACTCGACTCCACCTACCTTTTCAAACAGCCACTTGGTTCCCACTCCATACATTGAAGCATTCTGAACAAGTCCACATTAAGCTCTGTAAATTTTAGCTGAGAAAGAACAAATGGTTCGAAGCTACATTAGATGACATACTGCACTCTGTTTTTTTTTTTTTTTAAAGCAAAATAAGAATTATATTGATCAATCAAAGGGGTATGCATCAAGTTGCACTAAATGAAGACAATCAAAGATGTATATAGATTTGTGGCCAATATTGACAGTATTACTGAGTTACACGTGCACTGCACATCGTGGAATATAATTAGAAAGACACAAAACTTCACTGTGACAGCAGCTGCCATGAATTGCATTGCTCAGTCTTAGAGCTCTTTTTTGCCTCTAAAGAAGAAGGGTGACCATGATCTGCTCATGCAGTTGGCCTACTACTGGAAATCTGGCATGCAAACCATAGATAGGGAGTGGACTAAAGTGTCACATGAATAGGGATTGCATCCATTGGGGTAGGCTAGAAGGCCATACAAAACAGCAGTTAGATCTACAACAACAAAATAATAGAACCATAAGCATTTCCTTCATGTTCTTCCCTCAACATCTGGGCCGCATTTGATAACGGCGTAAACTTGGGAAAGTTGGAGACTTTCCTCTGCACTGTGGTTCCCCAGTTTGAGAGCAGCAAAACTGGGGAAAGTCGGAACTCTTATGTTTCCCAAGTTACTGTTCTCTTAAGTAATGTTGCCGCGCATGGGGACTCCTGCAATGCGACTTTCAGGGAAAATAGACACTACACTAGCCCGATAAAACCCAATGGAGCCCTGAGCCTCTCTCATTCTTCCATGGTCACTCGCCCTTCTACCTCTCACCGAAGCTCAACCATTGAGCAGCAATACATTGCAGTGTGCTGAAGTTAGGTGCTCTGTTGCCCTCATCTTCCCCATTGGTGCCCTGAAACTAGGCGCTCAGAGGAATATATTGTGTTCCTCAAACCCCCATATCTACAAGAGATTTTAGTTTTGACTTGCGTTCTATTTTTTTTTATTAAGCTCAAACAAGATTAACCCTAAATCTACAAAGAGCATTTATATTTGTTTTTTGTTTTTCCCCTGGTTATGCTCAAAGAAGGAAAACCCTGTATTTAGATAGTTTATTTATTTATTATTTAGGTTTTATTAAGCTCAAGGAAAAAGAAACCCCAAATATACAAAGAGTTCTCTTTTTTTTAGGTTTCTTTTTCTTCCTGTTAATGTCAAAGAACAAATTTTTTTCTTGCTGGTTTTTTGTTGCGCAAAACCTGGTTTGTTGCTGGATTTTCTTTTTCTTGCTCATTATACGGTTTATAACTTTTCTCTTGCTGGCTATATAAGTTTATTTATTTTCATGCTGGATTTTTGCTGTGAATCGTGAATGGTTCCCTGGTTCATTGCTGGGTTTTTCATTTTTTTCTTGCTGGTTATATGGTGTTTTTTTTTTCTCTTGCTGGCTATACGAGTTTATTTTATCTTTCTTGTTGGCTATTAGAGATTTATTTATATGATATTTCAAGAACTAGAAATCTTTCATATGGATTTTCAGTGAATTTAAGTAGCCAAATTAACATTTATTTTGATCAAATTCAGTGTTTTTTGCTGTTGCATTTTGCACTAGCAAAATCAGTCTAAAATGTGATAAAACAGTCGAAATTTTGTGATTATTTCTGCTGCAAATTATTCCTAATATAAGTATCTATGTTTATTAAAGTTATTGGATTAATTCTAATTCATTTTAACATCAAATTATATGGAAACCTAGATTGAATCTGCTGCTGGTTTTGTAGAAAAAGAACCAACAGCAATTTTCTGAATCTTTGGTAGTGAAGACTGGTAGTTTTCTATTTTATTTAGGTTTTATTTTTTGGAAAAGTATACAATGAGACCATTTATCTTTGGTACAAGGTGGTCACAATTAATCTTGACCGTTGGATGTGAATGTGGGTGGCTAGATTTCTGGCATTGATCGAACTCAAAGTTCAAACGAAAGTTTCTTGAACTTTGTGACACATCCAAGCCATCAGATTTCACATCGAATGGTTATAAGTAATGGTGACCTCCTTGAATCAAAGGTAAATGGTCTCATTGTATACAATCCCTTTAATAAAAATTTCTCATTACATGGTTATTTTTTTATTCTGTTTCTGGTGTTTCTGTGTCTTTTGTCAAGTTATTTGTTCCATGTTTTCTCTTTCTTTCTGATTTGTTGCCATTGCATTGACCATTTCCCCTACTTTCTCTGTTGCATCTCCTTTGTAGTCTTGGATTTCAATTTTCTTGTAATCTCACTCCTCATGTTGAGATACTTACAATCAGAAAGTGGAAGATCATTCATATTCTTTATGGATTCCAGTTGTTATCGTCTTTCTTGAAACTAATGGGTCTCTTGGCCTGTTTGTTTTATCTTTCTCTGTTTTTGTTTGTTGCTTTGCATACGACATCGGTAGTGGGTATAATCGAATATTGTATTAATAGTGAAAATTCTGTTTAGTATTCTTAAACAAAAAGGAGTGTCAACTTATGATTACCCTACTTTTCAATTACAATAGTGAGATCAGTTGCAGAACCCCAATTTATCTCTTCCAATTATGCTAGAAATGATATATACTTGTGAGGGTGTAGGGGTAGCTAATAAAGAGCTCAGGTTCATTTTACCCGGTGGTCAATTGCATTATTGCGATAATTAGCGAACCTAAATTGCTAGTAACTTGGTAAATTAGCAAGAAAATCTTATTGAAAATATGTATTCCACACATCAGTTCAATGAAATACATAATGAATGGTTAAGACAGGTAGTTTCCAGCTTTCCCAATTCCAAACAGGTGAAAATAACAGCACCACAATTTATCAAACAGGCTTCCCAGCTTTCAAGCTACCAATTTTTACCTACCTCCCAGAATCCAGGAAAGTCAGCCGTACGGATTTTCCCAAGGAAACTGCAGTGAAAGTTATCAAAGACCAACTTAATCTGTTTAGCTTGAAAGGAAGCGAACAAGAATACTGGGACACTAAAATATTTTATGGCCTCTCCCCTACATGGATTCCGTCAAGTGTCTATCTTCCAGGATGTGCAAGCCTGTCATCATGACTATAAATGTCAGGCCTCATTGCTCAAAATGACAGTCAGGGTGCCAAGTTGATAAGTAGCCATCAAAGGAGGGGAGAATTCTCTCAAAATACAGATGAACGTGGTTGTGCTAGGGAATGGGTTATTAAGCAGAATCAACAGAGTGGAATATAAAATTGAATTAATTACATGATTGCTAGAACGCATTCTCCCTCCATCACTGTCCAACAGATTGATAGAAAGGTGATTAACCTTATAACAATATTCTAACCTTGCATTATATCCTTGTGTGTGTGTGTGTGTGTATTACGAGAGAATATACAATCCAAAGGGGCGTCAACCTAATTTAAGCACAATACTTAAGGACTTCATGATGTTATACTATTAAATAAAATTGCTTCAGGGTCTGGCACTCAAAAACTATTCAAGAATTCATCAATCATAAAAATATAAATTTTTTAATACAGTCCAACTTCGGTTTAATGAATAATGCAAGGGTTAACATAAAAATTGAGTTCAATTGAACGAGTCCAGATGTTTCTGTTAAAGCAGTCTGATGTCCAATATAGAGCTAAACTGCTTTTATAGTAGCAGGTGAAGAGTGAGGCCTAACTTCTGATAAAACCACAACATAGCTAGTAGGGGCCAAACTGCTCCACTAACATAGAAGGCTGATACACAATTTAGATTCCCAACACAAGAGGGTACACAGTCTAAGTGTGAAGAAGCAAATAATCATGCATGCAACCAGCATAACCAAATTCAGAAAAAAAAGGCAACTATCCAGGATAAGAAAAAACTTCTTCAATTATTCCCAAAAAAGTGAGAGAGAAGAAAGAAACACTATCTTAAAGAACATACCGAAGTTTCAAATAGCCGCATCCTCAATGAGGAATCTTTTAAGATGCTCAAGCACCTCAGAGTAAGAAGCCCAAGAATGGCCATCCGCAGCACCATTAAAACCCTTGAAACAAATCAGAAAAATCCCAATATTTGCCCAGGAAATAAAAAACAAATTCTATCACATCTTTAACTAGAATTGCTTTTAGACCTGTATCCCAAACTTCTACCTGATAACTATGTCATACATAACAACAAGCACAACATGATAAACCAAAACAACAAAAAACTGATGAATCGTCCGAGAAGCATAAAGTTACTGTTAACAAATTTTATGTTGCACCCATCCTGAATTCAGTTAAGGGTAAAACAAAGGCAATCTCATGCCCAAAAACGAAAAGTATTGTTTTATTTAGTGTCTAAGTAAAGGTCAAGAAGATCAAACATATAACATACAGTAATGTGAGACATATTAAGGTCAGGTTCTGCATCTTTATTGGGAAGAGGGAAATTTATCAAAAAAAATCTCATTTTTCACTGTTTAACATTTTACCCCTTTTCTACTGCTCCACCTCAAAATCATGTGTATTTTGAAATTAAACCAAAACATAATGGTAAAATGTTAAATAGTTAATAACTTAGATGTATTTTGATAACTTTCCCTTGGGAACCAAAAAAGGTCAGGTTCCGCATCCAACAATGAATAAGTCTATTGCAGAAGTAAATAAGTCCAGATTCACACAGATTAGTGGGCCTACCAAACAAAAATAATGTTCAACTAAAGGACAGATTTTACCTGAGAGCAACAAACTAATCAACTTTGCCAACAAGATCTTAACAGCCAGCATAGTTCCATCAAGTCACTGCCTACACATGCTGAAAGCTAAACTCCTTTTCATGGTTGCTTGCAATCAGTTCTACCCTAGGATTCTGGCATTGACACTCTGAACAGGTAATTGTCGACAACCCCAGTGACCTAAATATGAAGTTATCTTTTTCCGTTTTTTCCAACGGGCAGGAGCTAATTAGGGATTACATGAAGCTTTAGAAACTCAACATCCATCAAGCATAAGATCATTAATTGTTTCCCAGCCCTTCAACCAATATATTGCTAACCACGTCATCCATGAGAGGATCCTCAGTTGTTTCCATAAAACCATTCAAGTCTTCTTGGGAAGCATTTCCAGTAAGTAAAGAATGAGTGGCCACATCTGGAACGTATCCCTTTTCCACCATCCTATCCAAGAAATCACAAGCTTTATTTTTTAGACCTTCCTTCCATAGTCCACAGATAATCACATTATATAAGGAGGAATTTAGGTATTCTCCTACAGAAACTACTCTTTCCAAAATGTTAACCACCATGTGCATCTTGGCATGGTTCGTCAAATAAGAAAGCATTGTTATAAGTGTTTCATTATCTGGAGAAAACCCATCACTGTTCATCTTATTTAACAAATTAATTGCATTATTAATTTTGTCATCCATGCAAAAGGCCTGTATTAGAAGGCAGTAGATTCTTTCATCTAAAACACATCCCTCCTTCAATATCTGAGAGAAAAGGACCAAAACAGCCTTCGATTTGTTTTCATTGCATAAATTAGAGATAATTGTCGCATATGTTGTTGCATCAGAGGAAATGCCATGGAAAAATGCAGAAGATCGAAGCTTGATGGCCTCACGAACTCTTCCTATCATACAAAATTCACCAATCATATTATTAAACAATGAAACATTGAGAATGCATCCTTTCCTGGTTATATACTCAAACACTTTGACCACCTCCTGAATCTTCTTGGCCCGGCAAAGGCCATCGACAAGTTCACTATAGGCAATATCATCCAAAACCCAATCTTTGTTCATAACCCAATCAAAGATCTCTAAAGCATCTTCGTAATTCTTCACTTTACAGCAACCCAAGATGAGTGAAGAATAAGTGCCACCATCTGGCTGATAAGAAGAAACAATCATTCTATTAAGGACACTCATAGCAGTCGCAGTTTCTCCTTTAGTACAAAGCCCTCTAACCAAAATGTTCCACGAAACACTATCAGCAAAACCACATCCAATCATTCTCTGGAGAAAGAAGATGGCCTCCTGAAACATAGACTTGTTACAAAACCCTTGCAACAGTGCATCATAGGGGGCAAGCCAAGTCACACAATTTTCCTCCAAAGTGACAATAGCCTCCGAGAACTTCTCTTCTCTACAAAACCCATCAACTAAAAACGTATAAATTGCAGAATCTGGGGTAAATCCAGAACCTATCATCTCCTTAAGGAGCCTTACTGCACCATCAATTTTGCAAGTTTCACAGAGACTCCCAATCAGAAGGCTGTATGTAAGCACATTTGGAGAAAGACCCGAACCTTTCATTAGTTCCAGTACTCTAATTGCTTCATCTACCTTATTAACCTTGCAAAGGCTACCTATTATGTTATTGCTAGAACTTAAATTCATGCTACAATTTGCAGTAAGCATTACATCTAAAATTCTCAAGGCATCATCTACACAACTTTTCTCACATAAATAACCAATAAGAATTTCAAAAGTTCGGATATTTGGGTCACAACCCTTTTTGTTCATTCGGCTAAACTGGTCCATCGCATAATCTACCCTCCCAGTTTTGATTAAAATTTCAATGATAAAATTCAAAGTTTCAACATTGGGCACTATTCCAGCTTTTACCATTTCCTTGTAAACAAAACAAACAGAATTCAAATCATTTTCTTCAACCATATATTTCAAAAGAAGATTATGGGGTACTAAAGTAGGTTTACAGTTAACAGAGTGCACGCTTTTGAGAACCCGAAGAGCTTCTTTCAACCTGTGTCTTTTACAAAGGGCCTCAATCACAAAAACAAATTTATCTTCTGTCTCTGGACACGCCCTTTTGATCATTTCATCAAGAAAACCTTCCATTTCCTCAATTTTCCCATTAATACCAAGGTTTAATATCACTTGACAGTAGGTCTCAGAGGTGTGATGGAAGCGCTTTTGAACAGAGGCCCATCTGAATATCTGAACAGCTAAATTTGGATCACTCGTTGAACCCAAAACCCTAATTAATCTGTTGGGCAAGAGCTTATCTCTCAGGAAATCAATGGAGGATTCGAAATCCATGGCAGTTGAGGGATTTATGGACTTTTGAGGGCCTAATTGAACATGGCTTGTGCAAGAAACTGAACAAAAAGAAGAAACTAAGGAAACCCATTTCAAAATGGGTCTTTTGATGAGACATGGTGAGCGTGAAACTGCCATTAAAGTGTCTTGCCAGTGTTTAAAAAGCCGGACTCGGCACCAGACTATCATGGGCTCTCCAGGCGAGTCTGGCTTAAACACTGCGTATTTGTTGAGTTTCAATGTGTATTCTTACTCTCTCTCTACTTTTCCCATCACTTTTCACGATCCAATATTCCTCTTTCAATCTCAGCACTCCAAGGACTCAATTTAACGGCGCCTCACTGCAAAAGATTCACGCCAAAGAACCCAACTTTCTCTCTCATGTCCAGAGATTCCGGCCAAAAAACCCAAATTTTCTCTCCTGTCCACCAGCAACAACAAAGATGCCATCACAAGGATGCCTTTCTCTCTCCTCATAGGAAAATCCAATTTTTATCCCTCTACTCTCCCCTCACAATTAGACGCTATTTTGGCGAAGGGGCTGAGATTTCAAGACAGAAGCTGAGATTTCCCCACCAAGTCTCTGCAATTCGAAGCCATTACAGTGCCATGAAGTGTTTCTCCCTCGAACTTTTGGTGGGGTCGTTAATGGCCCTGCAAAATCACGCATAAGGCAGCTTAAATTGAGCAAAATTACCAAAACAACCCTAACAGCCCTTCGCCTTCTTTCCTTTGTCAACAACAATGTAAACAGATGATTAGGGCTATATTTGGAATAATTACACCGTTTTTTCAAAATGACTATAATACCCCTACGCAGTTTTTTCTCCAATAAAACTGGGGCAAATGCCTTCTCTCCATTTCTTGAAGTCAATTGGAGAAGCAGGTATTTTGTCAAACCCTAAATTTGTTTTCTTTATGGTTATTTCTCCTTAGAAATCCTAACCCTAATTGGCATATGAATCGTACCAAACCCTAGTTCATCCTGCAGTTTGTGATCACAAACCATGTAAATCCTCACCCTAACTTCCATTTGAATCGTACCAAACCCTAGTTCATCCTGCAATTTGTGATCACAAACCATGTTCCATGCTTTGCTTTCATGGTTTTCGTATAGACCTGAATCTGTAATATCAAACCCATATTCTGAAGAAAGTGGGTATTGAGAATTTTGTGCTTAATTTGAGTCTTTGAATCTGGCAACTCAATTTTATTTTTATTTATATTTTTTTTATGAAATGAATATCACAAACTCCAATATAAAGAGTCTCTGTGATTTTATGCAATTCTTTTTTTCAGTTTTTTGCAGTTCTTTTTTTTTTACCATAGAGTTGCCATAGAAGAGAGAAGAATCGATGGATCGAAGAACTAGAGGAGGCGGAGGGTTTTTTGAAGGAGCCTATAGACTCCTTATGCGTCGGAATTCGGTTTATGTCACCTTCATTGTTGTTGGTGCTTTCTTCGGAGAAAGGGTGCATTTCAAACTAGAAAGATAATTTGATTTAAATAAAATTTCATTCTTTGTTTCATGTTTATGGGCATTTGGTCCTTTAATAAATGATTCTATGTGATATTTGTGTTCTCTTGTGTTTACATCATGCTGATGGTGATTGGTTTTTGTATATCACAAATAAATATGACCATTTGAATGACAATTTGATCATCTGATTTACTCATTCTTTGTCTTTGACTATATAGCTTTAGCATGAGGAGACTGAAATACCTTTTACCTACCCAAGAACAAGAGTGAACCACCTATGCAATTGTCTTCTTATATTTTGGTCCACTTCAGTTTATCTTTTGAATATTTTCATTATCATTATCAAAAGCGGAAAGGGGAAGTGATGAGTTAGGGCGTGGATTATGTTTTACAAATGTCTAAAGAACTGTCATGGATAAACTTTTTTTTTTATTTGTGTTATTCCCCGTTCTCTTGATCTTTGGGGTGTCTACTGTTTTATTTTCTATGGTTGCTGTTATGTACTGAGATAGGAAAATGTGGTGACAGTTACCTGATGACCTTCATTTGAACTAAGAATTAATTAATTTAGTTCTATTTTTCCCCCATCAATTTTTTTTTTTTGATAGGGAAACTACATTGTGCTGATTGAATTATGGTTGAAAAAGATGTTGACAAAAATGTTGTACAAGTAATATATGAATAAAACTGATTTAACAAAGTCGTCATCATCATCAGAGCCTTTTTTCTCAACTATTTGGAGTCGGCGACACAAATCCTAGTCCACCATTTTGCTCTATCAAGGGTCATACCCTCAATGACACCATAAATCCCCATGTTTAACAAAAAGAAGTGTGTTTTGTAATCCATTTAGGCAAAGATGGACAGGTTGTGCCTAACAGCCTAAGCACCCCTTGTCTTGCTCGAGTGTCTTCGAGGCGGTTCATTCTTTCCAAGAATGTTGAAAATGAGATTGTTAACTTTGAAGTGATCTATAGAACCCCCGTGAATATTTCTTGCAATCACCAAGGGCAGTTTAGGAGGTTTTTAGCCCATTTAGTGGCATTGACTGTACAAACCCTACGCCACTTTGCATAACCATAGGCCAGTTTATAAGTATTGGGCTTCGGCTTCATTGGCATCACAGATTCCACCCCGATTGAATAGCCAATGCATCGCGACGATGATCACCAAATACTCCTATACCAAGCCACAAAAATGTGATGAGCCTAAATGTGGGGTAGGTGGAGATGCTGAATGTTTAAGGAGACTTTCAAATGATTTGTTGTTATACCGGTGACCAAAAAAATCACCGGCTCTGTCTTCTCTCTAAAATTGATTTTCAAAACCCCAAATCCTACTCATTTTAGTCAAAATATCATAATGACCCTATAAAAATAACAAAGACAAAAAAAAACCCAAAAAGATGAAAAAATGACCAAAAATAAAAAAAGGGCGGAGATCTACATATTTTAACATCATTGTACAAGCCAGTTCAGTCATGAACCAGTGGACATAACAGTCCAGGGGTTCGAACCAGGAAGAAGCAAAAAATGGGAGAAGCAAAGAACATTGTTTTTTCATCATTTGGCCTAAGTTATTGTATCACTTAGATATGTTGGGAGTATTTAGTGAATGCTGTCTTTTTCACTTCCTTTCTAGTTTTGTTTGTGGTGAATTCAAATGTCATGGCAAAAGAAACTAATTTATGAAGTCGTTTTTTGCTACAGGCTGTGGACTATGCTGTTCATAAACTTTGGGATTACAACAATGTTGGGGTATGACCTCTAAACTTTCTGTTTAATACTCCTATTGTTTGAGATTATATTGATTTCACATTCAGGCCCCGTTCCCTCCTTATGCAATCGAAAAAGAGATCCACCTCAAACCTTTCCCAGTAAATCCTGATCTTTCTAAGACTAATTTAAAATTGTATTGTATTTGTTCGAGAATAAGCATATTGGCCGGTTTAGGACTTGGTAATTTGGCTTTCTGGCTCGATCAAACACCTTCTTGGTTAAAGATGTTTGTCAGATCGCTATAAGGCATTGCTCCTACTTATGTTCTTCTGATCATGGCTGTACAACTTTTCACTTCTGTTTTGGAGTACTTCATTACAAGTTATCTAAAAGGGTCGTTGTGGGTCTTATTTATCTTACTCCGTAATCTCCATTAATGACTAGTCATTTATGTCTATCGCTGTGATCATCCAGACATTTCTTGAATCAATTTAAAACTTTCAAGAAACTTTGGTATAATAAACTATTTAAGAACTTAATGTTCCTTCCGTTTTCTATTTTGAGTGTAGAGGGGTATTGTTATAGCTGTGGTGGTTAGAAAAACATGACTTGTGAGTGATATTTAGTATGGGCAGTGGAAGTTTGTCTTAACCTCATTTGGAAAATCCGCAGAAAAGGTACGAGGATATTCCTGTCTTGGGAACAAGGACATCTGAAAGCTGATGTTTTAATTGCTCTGGTATGGGTGTCCATCTCATTGCATCAGTCTTTGATTTAGACATATCTTTCTGCTTCACTTTGGAGATCACATCAAATGACTTGTGTGCATTTTGTTTCAGCAGGTTACTTTCCATCAATTTGTGGATCAATTGATAACTGTTTCTTGTAATAATATTTGAGTGTAATGTTGATGAACTTCGTCTTGAGAAATGTTGATGAACTTCGTCTTGAAAATGTTGAAAGAAAGCGTCTGCATCTTTGGTGAGATGATTTGTAATGTCCATGAACTTCTTTAACAAATTGTCAGAGCAAATGTTGTGCAATCTTTATTGTGATGATATCAAAGTGTGCTTGGCAACCCTTGGAAATTTATGAGATGACTAAATTAATTTGGGAGCTGATGTTATTAGATTGACTTCACATGGCTCTTCATTTTGGCCAATGTGAAGCATTTCCACTTTTTGGCTGTTCCGGGGGAAGTCTTATGTAATTTTTCTGCATAAGCAAGTAGGAATTTCAAAGAGATCTGTATAAGCAGACATTTTTGAATAGCAATGTATGAAATTTATAATATCTCGAATTACAAGGGAGAAAGGTATTAAAAAATAGTGATCCGGATTGGACTCACCAAATCCCAATTGTGTTCGGTGAGTGAATGATCCAATCTATGGCCCTTAGAACCACTCCATTCCACCCATTTTTATTTTTAGTCGTTTTTTTAATTCGTATCCAAATTGTAGATTCAGATTTTTTGGGTCCCTTACTGGGGTTTTGATTTTGAGCACTCGTCCTATGGGTGCTGAATTTTTTGTGTACATTTATTTTTAATACAGTAGTTGCCAAATTGTTTTTAAAAAAATGTAGATTCAATAATCATGAAAAGTTTTGACAAAAAGCTTCATACCTAACCATCCACCTCTTTTACCAGGCTTGAGAGAGGTCTAAAAAAAAGTTTAAAGACCATTTCTATAGACTTCAAATAATTGAAAAAAAGCTTTAACGATGATGGCTAGATTGTTCAATTCAACCGATCTGGATTATTTCACCACATGGCTGATCCAAAAATAGATTCTGATTTGAACACTTGGGAAGGGATTTGATTAGCCTTCATTTGAGAGAAAAGAAGTTGCATTAAACGTATGCCACGAATTTGCGCGGGTCTGAGCACATGGAAGTTCCAAAGTGCTCAGCCAAAGATTATTTTATGACCTTTGTCACTACAATACGATTTATATCCCCAGGTTCTCTCTCTCTCTTCCTTTGGTAAATATTAGAGAGTACACTTTGGCTACAAGATCATCAGGCACTAAAAAAATTCAGGGGCTGTCTCTCTATCTCTCTAAGTGAAGCTGTAGAACGCCAGTTACAATTCCTCTAAATTCCAGCAAACGCATGCTTCAAATTCTTGTTGAAAGCAAAGGCTTAGCATCAGATCCACGAATAGACCAAATATAACTTAATGCAATATAATTCACTAAATTCAGAGAAAGAAGAGTTTTTTTAATCTGTTCTCCAAGAATCTTGTACTACCTATATGTAACCAAAATGGGAATCAATGCCAGTGGGATCAAGCACTAAAGCATTGGAAACACTTATTCAGAACAGCAATGCCAAATCCAGAAACAATTTAATACAACAGATAATTCATGTTCTCGCATAAAAACTCAAACTCGATGCATCGGAAATGATTTGAGCATACTGGAGTGCAGGGAACATTTTTTTTTTTTTTTTAGCTTTTTGGCCATAGGTCAAAGGGTAAGCAAAAAAGATCAGCTTTCGGAGGTCCTTGTTCCCAAGACTGAAATGTCCTCGAACCTTTTCTGCATTTAGGAACAGTTAAAAATCAGTATAAATCCCTGGTTTAAGAACTTCAAATGATATTTTGAAGACACTGTAAGGTATTAATCCCTGGTTTAAAAACTCTGAAAGATATATTGAAGACATGTATAACGAAAACCAGCAGAGTCAATCAATAAGTAGGACGGCAAAGAGCATCCTGTAATATCCAATGCATTCTACGATAGAATGAGTGGCCACCTAAAATGTCCAAGTATGTGTATAAAATGGCTTTCAATAAATTTATCAAATAGTTTGTTACATTGATTCTTCAAATATTTCATGCACGGTATTATTGGAGAAATGAGACTCTTAACAAACAAATAATAACATAGTGACGCATAGTTGCTAGGGGTGGCAATGGACCCGGACCTGACCCAGAGGCCCGAGGGGTGGACCCCATCAGAGTCCAGGTATGGCTCCAAAAATTGGACCCCGAGGGTTGGGTGCAGGTCCAAATCTTAGACCCGAACACTATTCGAGTCTGGTTCTGGTCAAGCCCGGGTCCGGTAATATTTTTCAGATCCCAATATGTGAAATATATTTAAATATAGTTAAATGCATAGATATTTTAAATTTTCAGTCAGGTTCAGTCGAGTCCAGGTCCCACACTACATTTTTGGGGCCGGGGCTGGCAGGTTGTGGCCCCTATTATTACTTGTTTAAAGAAAAACCATCCTCCCATTAACAAAGATTCTAGGTATAAAAAAAGCCTTCCATTGTTAGAGGTCTAAGCAAAAATCAGGTTATTTTGTCTAACACACTTGGTGAACAGGGATAACAGAATTACATGATAAATCTAGGTATACCAAAACACAGATGTGAACACGGAAGCAAACATAATTCGTGAAACAATTGCATAAGTAGGTGACATAATTAGAGGGTTCTCAAATTTAGGTATAATACAAGGAATTGTCTACAAGAGACCATTTATCTTTTGTACATAGAGGTCACAATCCTTCCACTCATGTCAAATTGGATGGCTTAAGGTGAGTCACGAAGTCCAAGAAATCTAACATATTGTATTTGAATTGTTTCATCGTGCTTTTTTTTCAAGGTTCAGCTAATAAAAAAGATGCAATCTCATGCAAAGGTCAGACCCCTTCCAAGTCAAAATAAAAAAATAAAGATTGATGCCCAATGATCAACAAATGAATAACTGCATATATATTTCTGTCAAACGCGTAGGCTATGCTTTCATGGGAGCATAATTACACTTGCTCCCTCTGGCAAAAGACCTACTTGAGAGAATTTAACCTGAAATTTTTGGAACCACCCAAGGATCACTCGATTATTTTCAAAAGAAAAATATTGGATTTTGACATGTTTGAAAAAATATATTGGATTTTGACTTGTCTAACATGTAAGTCTCAGCTTACAAAAATTGGACAGTCCTTATTCAATCTTGAGACATCATTTTTTTCAAGCCCATGAAGAGCGCAATTTGGGAAAAAAATTGTATTGAGGTCAGCCTTGGAGTTGGAGATGTTACATCACGACAAATTCTATCCTGCAGATAATTCTAGATTGTGTTTTATGTGAAGAAATAAATGGACGATGTGCTCCAGCAGGAGCAAGAAATCATTTAGCATGTCTATTTATTAGTGATGAAAATTTGAGAACTATAAATTTAATGTGTGTATCAAAGGTACTAGGAGTGTTGGCTTAAAGAGAAATTGAACTATGAAAGAACAAATGAAAAACCTTCCATCTCCATTGAAGAAGGACGTGCTATAATTTACTTATACAAAGGAAACTGTAACCTGAAAAAACTTTCATCATCTCTCATGGGCACTGGCCATGGCAAGTGAGGTTGTCAAGGTTATACTTCATTATACATACTGAAATGGACAAGGTAAAAGGGTGCATTTGACAAGGTCTCCATAGCAAGTGTCTCAAATTTCAGGAGATTGCCACCTTAAGCAGAAGCATTGAAGCTTTTGGTAACGAAGCAGTTTAGCGGCTCCTAATTATTTTCTAGCTTGGGAACATGAAAGATACCATTTCAGGAGTACTAGGCTTGTTTAGTTTAGTGCGCTGCTTGGATATTGCTTACCAACCTAACAATCTTCTGTATTGAGAGAGGTTGCAGAGGGCAACAATTTACAAGACAGTACGATTGTTTGTATGCTGCCCTAGGTGTAGAGCTCTGCCTGATTAGAAGCAACTGCAGGAGAGCTTTATGATTTCACAAGCATCGACTCATTGTGGCACGAAAAACAAGTTCGTGGGGTGATGATTAGAAATCCTTAGCATCTTTGAGAACATTAAGAGTTTTAAAGATGAGATTATAAGAGGAAAGAATGTTGCACTGCACAGCATATTAAATGTACATGTCAATGGTAACCAGTTCCTCAATGACAGTGAGACCATTATTCCTTTTCACTGTGGCACGACAAGACCCTCCTAGCCATATCGATATATCACTAGGGGCATTGAGCAAGCCATCGTTAGCAACAAAGAAAAAGAAAGAACTTCTACAGGGAGGAAAATATGGACATGCCATTGATAGCAGTCCCTGAACAAGAAGTATTTAAAATACAATAACTTTGCGACAAGCATAATGCAACCATATACCACATGAATTCTAAAAGGCACTAATGTTCGGGAAAAAGAAAAACAGATGTTATTGTTTCACATCCTAGAAAGCCACTAATGTTATGTATACACTTGCACATGCACATGCATGGTAACATCAAATCAATCACGATCCATAATCTTGCACTAGTCTCCTCATCCAAACAAACCTCTTAACAATTTATAATGACTCTGGAATTGACAACAGTCTGGTAAAGCTTTTCTACAGTAAAAGATTAACTACAAGTTTGGTATGGGCTAGGCACCTACAAAATTTCAATTGGCTCTGGGACACCTCTACCTCCATCGAAAAGCTATTCACAGCCTTCTACTCACCTCCCTACACAATCGGCCTCTTCTTGTGGAAACCTTTCATCCTCGCCACCTATGGGCCATTTGGGAAGAAAGAACTTCCGAATTTTTTGAGGCACGAAACAACAGCACATGCCACAGCAGCAATGTACGAGAGATCACTATCTCTTGGGCCAGAAACTACAAAGGCCTTAAATTTTTCTGTACAGCAAACTTCAGATCCAATTGTACAAACATTCTCCTGTTCAGACCTTTCAGGTCTAGATCCACCTCTTGGATGTCCCCAAGCCCAGGTGTTATGTTGGGTGCTCCCCTAGGAAACCCGGCCTCAATGGATACAGGGGGATATTTAAAAATCCAAAATGGGACACACGATGAACTTTCTCTGGTTCTCATGCCATTTGGGATTCATCTCAGGTTGAAGCAAATGCCATTCTTGAAGGAACGAAAAGATTCGACCCATCTTGGGGAAAACATTTTCTGGTACAAGGAGATTCCAAAATGTTATCCTAGGGCCTTCAAGGAAATCTCTTTGTCCTTGGAGATAGTCTCACATTGTTGACAATATAGTTCACTTGTGCAGGCCTCTTCAAGTCAACTTTTGTCATATTTGGTGGGAGCCAATGCAACAGATGATGATTTGGCTAAAGAAGGTGCAGATCTTGGGATACTGCGTAAATATTCTCTCTTCCCTTTCATCATATTGCTCATCTTCTTCATCTTTCCCCTAGTTCCCCTACTTCGCCTTAATCTTCTATTCCTTCTATCTGTCTTCTTTTCTTCTCTCACCTTTTAACTCTTCCTATCTTTTTCCTTTCTACATTTTTCCTTGACATAACACCCCTCTGAATCTTCCTTTTACATATGTATATAATTATGTACATACATATACATACATACATGCATACTTTTGTACATACATATATCACAGATCAACCCATATACATATTAAGTACGTATATACATACATATATCACAGATCACCCTATATAATATACATATGGGTGTGGTACGCATAAGGTTGCAATCTTAAACAATCCAAGTAAGGCACACCTCCAAAATTTATAACAAGATGGAATTTAGGTGTCAAAAATTATTAGGATGATCTGAGAATCCATTTTCATCTCTAGTTATAAAATTTTAAACTCCAAAGATTCTTCAAATCAAGTAGATCTATAAACAAATGAAAATTTTGAAAATAGACGGTCCAGATAATGTGTTGCAAGTTGTACTATTTTTGAGACTCAAAAATCTTTTTTGTTTTCATATTCATACATCTCGATGTCGAGATGATCAATGAGAGGTTTTCCTAACATCAAATCAGCGAGCCTTTTCCAATGGATGTCTGAGGGGCACCTTAATTCTACATTTTAAGGTTGCAACCATATATATATATATCACATATTGTCCCCTGAGCTTGGTCACAAAGAGAATTTTCTAGCTTCAGAATTGCCTTTAGATTCTGAAAAAAAAAAAAAAATTAAAGTTGATCTGATTTCCAGGTATTACTGATCACCGCATCTTATATGAATCCACCCCAAGGTTCAAATTTCAGGATTTTTAGAATACATTTGACCAGAAGCGAAATTAAAACTGGAGGTCAACTTGAATTTGGCCTCAAAATTTAATAGTATTCATAAACTAAGAAGCCTGATTTCAAAGATTTGGCTGAATTTTGAACTCCATGCTTAAGTCCACATTGCCAAACTGAGCATTTTGAAAAAGTATGTTTTTACAAAAAGGAAAAGCTTACTATACACCAATGGCTTGTGATAGATCGCACACCACCCGGACCTCCATCATCTGTTTGTGTCTAAACAGTGGAGGTTAACCATAATTCGCAACAAGATGAGTCACCCGGGCGAAGTCAATCTCCACTGTCATTGGAAACATACTGTGGAGGTTCTACGTCACATAATATTCATACACCACTAGGGTATGGTGCACTTTCTTCATCATCATCATCCAATCCATATCCCATCCCATTTTTGGGTCGGCTAGGGCATGGTACACTTTACCTATCAAAATTTACTTACCATACCACTGTCAAGTATACCTCCACTTTCACCTCTTATATGTTATAAAGGGAAAACTATACATTTTGTATACTAACAAACAACATATTTATTAATTTAAAAATATTAAATGTATGGATGTGTCAAGCAATATCGGATTTTTAGGCTGACACATTAGATATCTTTGATACTTATAGACACCAACACTTGTCGGTATTGGTGTCTATGTTAAACACCGCAGAATGGCTACTTTATAAATTTTAAGAAACTGACACCAAGGCAGAACAGAACGATTAGCACAGAAAATGATAAAAGAGGTTTCAAGTAGATTCATGATCAAAGTTGAGTACAAACTAAAGGTCATGAACAATGTCTTATGGCCTTCTATGCTTCAGTGTTCAAGTGAAGAGGAGTTTCAACTAAATTTATTTTTAAAGGAATTCACCGAGTCAAAGGTCATCAATGGCATATTATGACATTTATGCTCCAAGGCTCAACAAATCCTGTATCAGATGCTTTACTTTGTTAAGTATCATGACACAATGTCTTATGGCCTTTTATGCTTCAGTGTTCAAGTGAAGAGGAGTTTCAACTAAATTTATTTTTAAAAGAATTCACCAAGTCAAAGGTCATCAATGGCATATTATGACATTTATGCTCCAAGGCTCAACAAATCCTGTATCAGATGCTTTACTTTGTTAAGTATCATGACACATTTCTTATTCAAATAAAGTATCATAACACATTTTAGGAAGAGGAAAGTCATTTTCCTTTAATCGGCAGCAAAAGGGAACTTTGTCATTAAGAAAGCTATTCATATAAATGAATACTTATCATTACTAATACGTGATCATCTACATAAGGCAGAAAGGAATAAGCACCATGACTCAACCAAAATTCCTAAACATGAAAGACCAGGACTTATCCAGCCAATTTAAAATAAATAGGGTTCCAGATATTCAGACAACTAAAAGATCGTTAGAGAAAATTACCCCAACATTGTTGTAATCCCAAAGCTTATGAACACCATAGTCCACCGCCTGCACCCAAGAAACAGCTTCACAGATAAGTTTCTACTGACAGTAAAAGTATGGCATTTCAGAGGAGCACAAATAAAAGTACCATTGAATAAAAAAATACTGCATGGCATTAAGCATATCTAGCTAGTTTAGTAACTTTAGTAACTTCAACAGCACAAACAAAGAAATGCTTCCATCATTTTACTCTTTCCCCCTTTTTATAACTAGATATGTTTATTTATTGTATATGATAAATAGTAGAACCTCATTAATGAAGGAATTACAAAATTAATTGGTGTAAACAAAACTACATTCGTAGAATACTAGAATCTATCGAACCATGTCCTTTCTAGTCAAAGTCAAGACCCCCAGGCCATCTACAACCAAGTTTTCTTCCCTCCTGTGGTACGTGGTTGATATCATTACAGAAGCCTGTTATAATTATTGGACGACCCAAAGTCCATCAGGAAATCAGGGAATAATACATTCAAGATAATATCTTATCCACTAATCAAAAAGTAAAATAAAATACATCTTCTCCATGCAGTTTTCACAAAAATGCTGAATACCACCAGTACACTGCATTTGTCACTTCAGGCTGATATCCGTGGTAAAGGAGGGCATTTCCATTTTACCAAAATTGTGAAGGATTATATTTTCAAAGCATTGAACCATAACACATAGAAAAGAACTTGTTTGACACTTCACGTCAACAAACTTCTGGAGAGAGATTGGAAAGTAAAGCCTATCTTATAGGGAACTCCAATAGTTTAAATTAATCTTTCCTTCTAACATCCACATTACATTTTTTTTTTTCTCATAAAATAGGTGCATCTTAAAAGCTTGTAACAAGCAGTAAATGTCCCATTCAGATGCCCTTCAACTTACCACTCTGATTATTATCAACTATTTCAGTGAAAGAAAGAGACAAACCACAAAAATCCAGAACAAACAAAAAATAAATATTATTTTAAACGAAATTGAGCATTTCAGAGGATTAAATTCACCAAAGTAATCGTATTTATTTGTGAAAATTACATATATCACATGAAAGCATGGCGCAAACTCAATAAAAAAAAATATTATCAGTATGCAACACACCTAATTAAGGCATCAAAGTGATCAACAAAGTACATAATTATTACAATATACATAATAGAAATATTCAATACACCTGATTTGAGTTTGGAAAATGTACCCGTTCTCCAAAGAAAGCACCGAGAATGACGAATGTGACATAAACAGAATTCCTGCGCATGAGAAGCCTATAGGCTCCTTCAAGCAGTCCCCCACCTCTAGTTGTTCGATCCATGGATCCTCCTCCCTTCTGTAGAAACTCTCTGACAAAACAAAATTTGAAAAAAAGAGAGAGAGGTTCAGAAAACCATGGAGGAATTATTACAAATTGGAGCTTCTGTGATATGTGTCTTCAGATTAGGTTTTGCGAGATCAGTACAAGTCAAACTATCCAGTACAAATTGGGTTCTGTGAGAATCAAACTTTTTGAAATGTACAGAACTGACTATGGAAGTAGAGAGTTAAGATTTTTAGTGATCCATATTGCACCATAGGAAGGCTTTACTAGTACAAATATGCAAGACTTTCTTTATAGAACATACTAGGGTTTGCAAGATTCCCATCACAGGAAAGACTGCAAATCGTAAGCAAACCGTGAAAGGAAATCGGCAGTTCCACATATCAGGGTTTGCGATTCATATAGCAATATGGAATAGGATTCATAAGATATAGAGTAAACCGTTTGGTATGCTTTGCGTACTAGGGTCTGCGAGCCTCGTGAAATTACAAGTATTGGCATTGTCCAATCCATATCAGGACTAGAGATCGCAAAATCCACAGTTACGTGTCAAATTAGGGTTTGGTGAAAACTATCCATGTTTGTCCCAATGGTCTCACCATTTAATCCTCATGTTTGAGGTTGCAGATTAGGCTAAGGTTTCAACCCTTCCATACTATTCAGAACCCTAATAGCTTCTTTTGAATCAGATGTTTCTACAGACAAAAACCATGGCTTATTTTCTCTATGTGCACTCTCTCTATATATGCCTTCACAAAGGAAAGCCTCCGCCCTCCATTTCCTGGACTTCCCACCAATGTCTAGTTTTTATATCATCTAAGCTTACCGGAAGAAGCTTGCCTGTATACCTGCGTATGAATGAATGGAACAATGGTTGACTGCAATACCCTAGTTAATCTTTTCGGGAAGAGCCCCATACTTGGGAAATCAACACAATTATCAAAACAGATCTTTTCGTGCAAGAAAAACGAACAGAAAGACGAAAACTCAATAGAACTTTCTCTGAGAAAATACATAGTCCAAAATTCATTCGAAGAAATGCTTGTTGACGAGTTATGGAGAGTGAGCTCCCATTAACGGACCTCTAAAAGGGCAAATAACCAAATAAATTAAACAAGAGAAACCTTCAGGGAAGTGACAACGGAGTAAAATCTACCTGATCTTTTATGCGAAAAAATCCCTTTCGTCAGACGCCCTTGAATGGGTTCGGAGGGGAGCTTGAAATCTACCTCTTATAGCTTCCCCCGAACATTTTGATTGTGTAAAACTATGGTTTAAAAAACCGGGATTTTATAAAGCTAAGGTTTAAAAAACCGTATGGATGACGCGGACCTGCCAACCCAAGCAAAAGCCGTCTCAGATCGGTAAATCGGTCTTTGGAATCGAAAGCTCTCAACAAAAACAAAATTAAAAAAATCACTAAAATTTATCAAAAATTTAATTTTTTAGGTTTTTATAAAAAGTAATTACAATTGTATTGAAGTTGTTCATTATTATATCAAAAGTATGAAAATAATCATAATATGTTTTATGAACTTATAAAAAAGAAATAATCATAATATGTTTTATGAACTTATAAAAAAGAAATAATCATAATATGTTTTATGAACTTATAAAAAATAATTACAATTACATTGTGGTTGTTCATTATTGTATAATACAAATAAAAATAAAAAACATTACAAAAAATACCCTAAAATATACTATCTAGGCAACTTACCTCATCCATACTTTTTTTCTCATTTTTTTCCCCCAAAACAACATTTCTTTGTAAAAAACCGTCCAACCCAAGAGTAACAAAAAAAAGAGACTAAACTACCCTTTTTTGTTTTCACATGTCCTTTTATCTCTTGTTTCACACTTTTTTATTTATCCACACCACAGCACTCCGGCAATACAACACGCTCAGGCAGTGCAGGCTCTGGAGCCACAACGCTCCGATAGTAGAAGAACGCGGTCCGGTAGTATAAGAACGCGCTCCGGCATTCTAAAAATGCGCTCCGATATTCTGAAAGTGCGCTTCGGCATTGCAAGCACTGAGCCACAGTGCTTCGACATATGAGAACACGCTCCGGCAATACGCTACTTGGGACCCGCCAATTGATCTGGTTTGTACGAGAAAGGCATTTCCGTCTAAAAAATAACAACTTTTTACTTTGGGGGGTTTTTGCGAAGAAAGGTTGTTGTGAGGAAAAAAGTGAGAGAAAAAGTAGGGATGGGGTAAGTTGCATAAATAGTGCAATTTAAGGTGTTTTTTGTAATTTTTCTATAAAGATAGTATGTTTTATGTTGAATGTTTGTTGTATATTAAGTTTACCTTACAATCAAAATGAAATTATGTTATATTCTTCTTAATGCTCATCTGATAAATTTTACATAGGTCCTTATTTATACGAGGGATTGTGTATTGCCGATTGTTTTGTTGCCTTGGGGCTAGAATGAAGTGGTTTTTGTGGACTAAGATTTGATTTTCAATGTATTATTAAGAATTGTATGTCAATCGACCTGCCATTTTTTTTTTATTATTATTATTAAAAAAATTGAACCTCGATTTTTCTCAATTTTGTATTATGTTGGATGAATGGAATAAGCTTTATTTAATTACAAACTATTTTAAAAAACTCAATGAAATATATAATAAACAGTATTATAGACAGTTTCAAGATTTTCCATTATCTAACACGTGAAATTACTAGTACAATTTATCAAAAAGGGTTTCCAATTTTCACCCTATCAAATCAACAGCAAGAGCGATTTCCTAGGGACACTGTAGGAAAAGTCATAAAACGTTACCTTAGGTTGGACCCAGCGTGAGGTCCAACTGTCCAACCCATGCTCTTTGCAGCCTTAGTAGTCTAGAGCTCGTTGCATACCCTATAGCATAGGCCTAAGGTGCATTAAAGCTTCATAGGGGAAAATATACGCTACAAAGTCTTTAAAATATTATAGATCTACGGAGATTGTTTACTTTTTGTAGAAGGTCACAATTATTTTGTCATTTAAATTTCAAGACGGGTGGTAATAAGAGCGTCACTAAATTAATATAAAAATTTTAAAAAATAAATTTCACACTTCGTGACTCACTTCTAAGACATCAAATTTGACATCTAATGAGTGAGTATAGTTATGACATATTTATACAAAAAGTAAATGATCTCTTTATAAACAATCTCAAAAGATTAAGTAGGGTGTTGCATTCAACCATTGTTCCATTAATTCAAGCTTAAGTGCATCGATAAAAGCTCCTAAAAAACTAATAAAGGTTGTTTTGAATATTGAAAAAAATAACATAAATCTAATCAATCTTTTTCACCTCAACAAGATGTATAGATATGAAGAAAATATTTAAAATCTTGAAACTAATATGCCTTGTAACACATTATTTAAACTATTTTATTTTCGATATTTTCAACTATTTATAAATCCCCCAATCGCTTTAAACTTAAAAATTTGAAAAATTAAATATAAAATGAGACCATTTTTTTTTAATACAAGTTGGATACATTAATTTTGACCATTAAATGTTAAATTGGGTGGCTACAATAATTTTATCCCTTGAATATGAAATTGGGTGGCTACAATAATTTTAATCTTGAATGTGAAATTGAGTGGCTACATTTATTTAATTAAACAAGTTCAAACTTCAAAAAACATTTTCTCCAACTTTATATAACACATCCAAATTATCGAATTTCATATCGAATTAAACGGCGGCAAGTAATTGTGAATCAAAAGTAAACAGGCGGGTATTACCGTAATTTCCCCAATTCGAAAGTCTTATTTCGAAACTTGACTCAATAGGGCTTCCATGCGTTTCTCTCTCTCTAAAGCCTATGTTTCTCCCTCACACCAGGAAGCTCTCTATCTATCTTGTGAAAGATTTGAGTGGCGCTGAGCTCAAACAAAGAAGACTGTTGATGAATTAAATCAAGAGAAAAAGTAGGGTTTTGTTGGTTGGAAGACTGGTTTTCTACAGTGCTGATACTTTCCACCCAGAACAAACCCCCCAAGGTAATCGCCCATTAAGTCCTAAACCCTTCTATTTTTGCAATGTTTTATTGTATTATTTTTATTATATCTTTGTGGGGTGATTTTGATGTTGTTTCTGATAAATGGGGCTTTATGGTTTGATACCAAAAAATTCACTTCAAATTGGGGCTTTGTAGTTAATACCCAAAATTTACTTCATTTAATCAATTATATTTGATTTTAGTTAACTGAACAGACAACATGGTTTATGAAAATTTTGATTTCTAAGTTTGCTGTGGCTTCAGGGGTAGAGTTTCAGAAAGCTGACAGATATCCAACCTTTTTTTACTTCACCAATTTATTACTTTAAAAGGAGTGCATTCAAATGTTATGCTTTATAATGTCCAAATTTACATGTAAATAATAATATTTATCTGCACAATGATCCTCTTATTTCAATTTATTTGTTTCTGTTTAGTCATTAAAATGTGACGCTTGGATTTCAGGTTTAATTGTTATTTATTTTTATCTTTTGGCTGTTAATTTAGTGGTGGAAAAGTCCTAGGGACTTGTACTTTTGCACCATTTTGTCTGATTTCAAGCAGAATGTAGTAGTTTGAAGGTAAACCAGTATAAATGTTTATGCCATGAATTATATTGGGTGGAACATAATATGCTAAATGATTTGCTTCATAGAAAATACGATCCCCATGTTCGGTTTCCTTTGTCGATACTGGTCCATTGCAAGAAGGGAAAGTCCATTATTGTAACTAATGCGTGTTGTTGGATTCAATAGGAATTCGAATCAGCTTTTCTTTTGAAGTGGAATTCCAGAAGATGTTCATTTTTTGGTTTTGTGTGTAATGATATGGAATGCTATGGACTTTGAGGTGAATGTCAATTGTGAATTTGAAGGACCAATTGCGTGCATATCATTTATTTTTAGTGAGCTATATGGATATCACTTCGTTAGCAAGGTTAGTGTGCGGAGAGGCTTAAGTGGGCACTGTAGAGTGGATATGCTTCTCATGGATGTTATATTTTTTAATACATAGATATAACAGTTGGAACAAGCTTCAAGTTTAGATTTCAAACCCATGTTAGTAAAGATGATTGTCTCTCTTTGTGTATATCAAATCTGCCTAAAGTAGTCTCATGTATCAAGTGACAATTTTTTGAAATAGTTTCATTAGTACAAAGTACAAAGTACAAACTATGTATTCTTTCTTTTGTGACAATTTTACAGTGTGAATATAATGTGACAATTTTACAGTGTGAATATAATGTGGAGATTATCACTGGAAATGACTGCTTAAGCTGCAAAAAAGCTAGAGAGAGAGAGAGGGACCACCATGATCGCTCTGGGCCTGGAAGGTTCAGCCAACAAGATTGGCATAGGTATCGTTACCATTGATGGTTCCATCCTAGCCAATCCACGCCACACCTACATCACACCACCTGGCCATGGCTTCCTTCCCCGAGAAACAGCGCACCACCACCTAACCCACTTGGTTCCTCTGGTTCGAGATGCCTTAGCCCAAGCCGGACTCGAGCCCAACCAAATAGAATGCATTTCTTACACTAAAGGACCAGGAATGGGAGCTCCACTACAAGTGTGTGCTGTTGGTGCACGCCTTCTCTCTCTACTTTGGTCTAAGCCTTTGGTATCGGTGAACCACTGTGTCGCTCATATAGAGATGGGTCGTGTTGTTACAGGAGCTAAGGATCCTGTTGTGCTCTATGTTAGTGGGGGGAATACACAGGTGATTGCTTATAGTGAGGGGAAATATAGGATTTTTGGTGAGACGATTGATATTGCAGTTGGGAACTGTTTGGATCGGTTTGCAAGGGTTTTGAAGTTGTCGAATGATCCAAGTCCGGGGTATAACATTGAGCAGGTAAGTGTTTATTTTATCTTTCCTATTATTATTATTATTTTCTTTATTGGGTGCAATTGGTTGGAAAAGAGAGGTTAGGTTTGGACCATAGTTGTTGGGATCATGATCGGGGGATTGTGAAAGGCTAGAAGATTCGTTTGGCCCAAAATGTAAAAAATTCACAACCCTAAAAAGTTCCTTTCCTAGAGTGCTGGAGCAAGATCCCGGAGCATGATCGCCACCTAGGTTGGGAGATCCCGGCAACTATGGTTTGGACTTTGCTGAGTTTTGGACGGGATTTGACGTTTTTTGTGATTACCTTAGGTGGATTTTGCTGAATAGCTTGGGGTTTGGATTTTTTTTTTAATGAATTAAAGTTGGATTTTTGTTCTTAAGCTTGTCATGAGTTTGTTGGAATTTGACCTGGATTTGGTGGAATTTGACCTGAATTGTGTTTTTTTACTTAATTAGTTGAAATGTTTGTTGAAATTATTGGACTTTGGTTTTTTTCGTGAGTCATGGCAATTTGACCTGAGTTTGTTGGAATTTATGTGTTTTTTTTTTCTGTGAAATGTATCTGATCTGGTGAAATTTGCCCCTTATCTTTTTTGTTAGAGTGCTGGTACTATGCGTCTCTTTCTCTCTCTCTCTC